CCCCCCCCCATACCCTCCACCTGCAGCACTAGCTGAAGGACCTGTGCCAGAAGCAGATACCCAAGCAGGGGTTTCTGCTAAGCATCAGTGCCTGCTGCTCCTCCACTGCCGTCCCATCCTGTGACTGCAGCTCCAGAGGCACTACTGGACCCTGTGTCCCTGGTGATGGCTCATTACCCCAGTGCAAACTGGAGTTAAACCAGACTCCTGTGAGGAAAGTGACTGGTGTCAGAGCTCAACTCAGGTGGGCGCAGAATGACTGTGCAAATGTTTTGCATTTATTAGGCAAATGCTGCAGGCAGACAGATTGACTCCCTTGTGAAGGGGATGGCGAGGGTGATCCCAGCCCAGGCAAGGCAGTCGCTCCTCTACAGGGGCAGCACCTTTGCTCCACTGGCAGGTTTGGTGAGGTAGAAGGTGGCTGTGCCACTGTATTTCTCCTGGAAGACAAGAGGAGCAGTAAATGCTGGTGCTCTGGGGCCATACGATGGCGCAGCAAGAGGCCAGGCTAGGGGATGCCATGGCCAGGGAAGAAAGGCCATGTCAGTCAGCCCCGCTGTGCATCTGGCCCGGACACTGCTACAACAGTGGGCACATGAGATGCTTTTTTGGGGACAGCATCTGTCCTGGCCACTGCCTGGGGTCCCTTGGTCCACCCACAGCCCGGGGCAGGGAGGGTATCAACACATCCCCAAGCTGACCCTTCAGCAGGCCCTTATGGACTGTTCCCCATGACTTTTTCCAACCCCTTTTTGACCCAGCTGATGCTGTTGACCTCCACAGCCTCCAATGACAGTGGAAAACCTACCACCAGTTCTGCACAGTGCTTCCTCAGTTCTGTTTTTCTCCTAACTCATCCAGTGGTCACTGGTTCTTACTTTGGAGGATTTGAGGGTCAGTGCCACACTCATTGTGTCTACTCCCTTTGCTGTTCTGTAACTCCTGGTCACATTCTCTCTCTCCCAGCTTCTCATCAGATGGCAGAAGCACAGCCCTTTCAGTCTCTCCTAGTTACAGACACCTTCCTCTGTCCCTTCTTTATCCTATCCCCACTATTTATAGGGTGCACCATGATCTCATATAGCAGCAAAATGAGGCTCTGCCTCATTCACAGCCCCCATTTCCCGACACCTCCATTTTGCTGGCGTTTTCAGCTACCAGTACATGCTGAGCTGCTGATTTAGAGGACACTGGTGCCAGTGTTAAGCTCAGCGTTGCCTAAGCGTGGCTTGGATGGCTTTTCCCTAGATAGATTTAGCCTTCCTGAAGCTCACCTGGCACCTTTTTTGCTCACTTTCTCATGGTCCTTGGGCTCTGTGACCAGCAACGGTGCTGAACTGCTTGCAAGAGTTTAGTAGCATCCACAGACTTGGGGCTACCCCTGTACAGTGCTGGATGGGCTACACCAACCCCAAGTGCCTCAGGTGAGTGGCTTAAATGGCATCCCCAGGCCATGCCCCCGAGCATTTCCTTGGGATTTTTAAGACAATCTCCTGGCACTTTTCTGCTGCCTACCTGGATATGATGCTGGGCTCTCTCTGCAGCCCCGGCCTCCAGCAATGTCACTGTGCAGCCTCCAAAGCCTCCCCCCGTCATCCTGCTGCCATAAACCCCATTGACCTCCAGGGCTGCCGCTACCAGCTCATCCAGCTCTGGGCAGCTCACTTCGTAGTCATCCCTGGAGAGAGGAGACCCGTGGTCAGCCCTGTCCTGCACCTCAGCCAAGCCTCTGCACCACGAGCAGCTGAAAGGTTCATCCACTGCCATAGCAAACTGCAGCGATGCAGGATGCTGCAGCTCCTGGTCCAGCTCTCTGCCTGTAAGTGCACATATATGTGAGCAAAGCTGTGAGCATCAGGGACCCACTGGGCACTGCTGTAAGCAGCACACGCCTGTAACGTACGTGATGGGCTGCCTCATCCCAGCACCCCCAGGCACAGAAGCCTGTGAGGCTTTTCTTAAAACTCCCCGGCAGGTTGAGCTGTGGGAGACAGAGCAGAACATGGTTCTGGCTGCCCCCGGTGCTGCCCCCACTGGCAGGGGAACCCCACAAGGACTCGATGCCGGTGCCCTTGACACAGCCTGCCCTGCCTCAGGGTTGGTACCTCCTCACCTGAGAGAGTTGTGACTCTCCACCATCAGCCTCCCGAACGTCCGGTAGTCCCTGTCCTGTAGGGCTTTTGCTGCCTGGGCCGTCCGTGCTATCTCGCCAACGACATGCCGGGCCCGCCGGTACACCTCCTCGCCCAGCCGGCTCCTGGCCGCTGCGGAGACACGCGTGCCCCTGGAGCAAAGCCGCTCGGGTCTGTGGGTGCTGCTGGGGGCAAGCACAGCTACATCCTGCAACCTCCTACTGCCAGAGCTTCTCTACTTGTGGCACACTCCCATCCCGGTGTGTGCACCCACCCACCTGTCCCAGATGCTGCCCCACAGTCTCAGCCTGTGCCATGGGGCACTGAGCTTCTGCTGCCGTGAGGAGCAGCCAGAGCCAAGGGAGGGACCGTCCCCACCTTCCAGCTCAGCCATGGTGACATCTCGCAGGCTGCCCTTGCCAAGTGTTGCCGCCGCCTCCTCACACTGCCGCCGGCGCGTGGGGTACTCGCTGCCCGTCAGCGTGTGCCGCACGTTGGAGTTGGTGATGAGGACGGCCAGGCTGGCATCAGTCAGCGGGACGAGGACGGTGTCCAGGGACCTGCAGTGACAGCTCAGCGTCAGCCACGTGCCTGTCTCCCCCTGCCTGCTCCAGCCCTCGGCCATCCGGGTGAGGCCAAGGGGCAGGCAGCTCCTGTCTCTGCAGAGGCGAAGTCCAAGTGGTTTAGGATTTCATCTGAGCATTTTACTACCTCCCAATTATTAGTCCTCTAATAGACCCTAATGACTTTTCAGGAAAGACAGCTCAGGAAGTAGCGAGAAGGATGCAGGAAGAGAAATCAAGACCCAGGAATTTAAACACAGAGAGCCCCAGCCCCGCAGTGAGGACTGGGTTCAGGGGTTAACCCGTCCCTGCACTCCTGCATTTATTTCATGGCTACCAGACCAGCTCGTCCCCACCTGCCCGAGGAGATGGGCACAGCACAGTGAGCTCAGTGCTCGGCCCTGACCTGCAGTCAATGAGCAGCGCGTGGCCTTCCTTGCCCATCACGGATATGAACTGGTCCATGATCCCGCAGGGCATGCTGGCAAACGTGTGCTCTGCTTTCTGGCATGCCAGTGCCTTGGCTACCAAATCACCGTCATCTGTGCCAGAGCAGAGACACGCAGGTTAGCACCTCTGGGACCTTTGCCCCTTTGTCCTGGAGTGGAGGAGCAAACACAAAGGTAAAGGGTTGCCTTCCCATGGAATGGGGTTTTGCTAAAGCATCAGCCACAGGTGCTTGCTCCTGCTCCAGTGCACAGCATGTGCCAGCGCGGGTCCCCGGATCCAGCTGGATGCAAAAATTTGGCGCTGGTGTCTCAGATCTCTCTGGTTTTGGGGACATGAAGGTGGGGAGAAGATGCTACCAAGGGAAGACCCTCCCATCCCCCAGCCAGCCCCAGGGGCGGTCCATGGGCTTTAGAGGCATGGGCACATCAGGCTGGGTGAGTTGGAGGAGTCCCGCAGCCACAGTGTTGCAGCTCCAGCTTCTGAGGGGGTTTGTGACCCACCCTACAGCAGCATTCTCCTGAGGGCTGTGGGATCTTGCTAAGGGCACCCCCCTCATCCCAGTTCCCACCCAGGAATGGAGGCACCAGGGGCCAGGACCAGCTGCTGCCTTACCAGGGCAGAGCTGCTGGAGGAAGGTGTAAGTAGCCACCTCCAGAGCAGCCGAGCTGGAGAGGCCCCCACCCAGGGGGATGTCGCTGGCTATGACGGCATTGAAGCCTGGCACGGGACCACCTGTGGGAAGAAAAGGGAGAAGGGGGGCCATGAGCCCCTGTAGGGCTGGGGGCTGCCCTGTCCCACAGCTCACGGGCAACGGACAGATATCTATCTGATAACCCACTTTAAAATGCAAGGTGACCCATGGCAGAGTGTGACCTGGGCATTCCCCCCCCCCCCCCCCCCC